ACCAGCCTGGTAAGCAGTCTGATAAGCATCCAGTGGCATAAAACCGGTGTAAGAGTTCGGGTTCATAGAGACACCAGCCTGGTAAGCAGTCTGATAAGCATCCGGTGGCATGAGACCGGTGGGAGAGTTGGGATCCGTGGAGATGCCAGTTTCGTAAGCAGTTTGATACGCGTTCTGTGGCGGGAGACCGATGTGAGAGTCGGGAAGGACGGCGACGCCATTTTGGCATCCAACGGGAGTCATGATGTCAGCAAAGGGTTGATTATGAGCCGACTCATGAGTAGGCTGCTTCTGCGCGGCGCAGTGATATGTTTGCAAGGGCTGATGAGTAGCGAGAGACTCCAACATCCCAGCCGCCTCCATAGTAGTCATTTGTGTTAGGTTTTGTTCCAACGTGATATCATTTCGCGTGAATATGCGACCTGCGCGGTGGTCACCTTCGTTAGGCCAAACCAGGTAGTGCTGATAGTCCAGTAACTTATTTGCCAAGTAACAGGTGTCATATTGCGTCGGGGGGCTCAAGATATCGATGGAATGGAGGTGCCGTATAATGGCATCTTGGTCTCTTAGGAAAAGGCCTTCTTCAGCGTCAAATCTGTAACGATTAGTTTATATCTAGGCCTAACATAAAAACACATACATAGAATCAGGTATACTTTCATAAAAAAGTATCCCAAGTGCGCTTCTAAAGCGTTCATCTTCGTTCGTAGCGTTACTGGCTGCATCCTCATCGTTTGTTTGGTCGATGAAACGTGGTTCGGCAGGGACACGAATTGCCAGGAGCTGACAGAACGAAATTCGGCGTTGTCCAGCTTTAGTAATAGCAAGAAGAGCTGTGGTTTCGTCATTAGAGCCATCATATCCCATGAACCTCAAAAAGTCACGGACATGGGTAGTCTTTATAGATTGTATTTTAGGTTTCCAACGCCGAAAATGTAAATATAAAGCAGCTGTTGTGAACCTCCATAAGATCTTATAAGTTGAATATTTCTTATAGAGTTGAATAGCGGAGTCTGTGAAGAATTTGCGGTATGTTTCAATTGAGTTGCATGGCCGTTGCTTTAACTGCGACTCGTCTGCCGCTGGCGACCAGAAGGTCTGTGGATTCTTATCCCACAGGCGAAACCGGTTAAGAGTTGACTCGTTTAACTGCAAATGTGGGCGTTCGATTGACTTGATTGCTGTAACGTTAACAACATCTAACCTCTTCCCTCGCTGCCGACCGAAATTGGTTGAGAGCGACTCGAACCATCTTCGAAGAGTTTGGTGATTCGCCTCGTCGCTAAGGACCACATCCACGTTATCATCGTCGTTGTAGGGTTGTAACAAGCACCTAAGCTCCTGGATCGTTAGTTTGCTTGCTTTGCACCGCCTTTCATGGTGGCGAAGACTCGTCTTTGCTTTGCGCGTTACCATTGTGATAAACCGGTGTGAAGATGGTGAGTCTGGGAAAAGCTCTGAAATGGAGAGAGTTCAGCCTCGACCAAGAGGTCTGCGGGGTAAGGTAACGCTACGAACGCCACTGCGGGCCCGCGCTAACCTAAAAATCAAAAAAGTGCTGTGCGGCACAGTACTTTTTTGATTCTTGGGTTAGCGCGGCTCAGATGCACATTGTCTCGCAGCAGTCTCCTCTTCGTGTTCTAGGGAGGCGTTTGAGCCAGTACATCACTCATTGAGCCTACAAAGATTCTTGTGGCGACATGAATCTATGTCTGCTGGGCCACCATGTTCTCCCAGCGAATTTCTCTATCCTGGCTGTGTAGCGAATTAATCAGCCAGTCGCTTGGAAACTAGTGCTTGTCTCGCAATCATTGCAACAAGGAATAAGGTAGTTTATCCTTTGAGTTCCGTCACTATTGAAAGGATTCTATTGTAATTTCTTTCCCCAGGGATATTTTGGAGCCCTCATAGAGGTAATCAAATCTAATGAAACTATATATCTATAATCGTGTCCAGGTAGATGAAAGAGAGCCAAATGCAAAAACCACACCGCTCCTTGCGATGCGATCCATCGACGCGGCAGAGTATGCTCCCGCTATTGCTATATTTGGCCTTGGAGAGGGATACCTCGCTCTTACCCTCGTTTACGCGCATTTCTATCCTCGATCGTTTTCGAATGTTAGACGCTACCTGCTTAAAGCTGCTTCTATCATTTACCTCCTAGTCTCGGCTACATTCATCACGGCATTTTTCATCACTCGTCGGATATCGAGAACACATACGCCTGCATTTGTGTTATTCTATGGCTGGGAGGTTATTAATGGGCTTTGCCTTAGAGCGGAAATTGTACGAGTTGCTAAGCATTGAGTTAGATAAATACTAATCATGGGTTTAGATATATTTTTGGCTTTTCATATGTCCATTCCAGGGTGTCTGGATACTCGGATTCGGGGTAGTATGCATTGGCCTGCCCACCGTCGCAATTCTGGGTACAGGGCTTTGGTGCTACTATACCATGCAAAGGCAGTGGCTTTGGATATTCATCCCCTTCTTATGCGGAGTCTTGACAATTACAGGCGCTTGCTGCACCAACGATGCGGCTCCAGCTTATGCACGCTATCGACGACATTGGGAGTATCTCATATTACCTGTGCTGCCAGGGCTTGGGCTCGGGTTTGCGGCCGCTGCTATACCTGCTGAGCAGGCACTCAGACTACAACAACTACAGTACGTGCTTCAGTCAATGATTGGCTTCCTGTTCATATATCTGTTCCAGGGCAAGGGGCTGGTATCCGAACACAGGTCCAGCACACAGGCCAAGAAGGCGGGCCAAGCTCCACGGGACGGAACTTCACTTCAACTCGGGCAGTCCCGCCAGAGGCTGATCCTGGAGGATGTGAACCTGGAACACATCACTACTGGGGATCTTGAAAGCCTGCTAACGGAGGAGGGGCTGGATGTACCTGGGGTTCTTGAAAGCTCGGGGGAGAGGCTGGATATACCGGTGAAGGCCGAGGGAGGCGAGCCACGCCCAGACAGTACGACGCTGCCAGAAATAATTTCATATCCTTACTTGCTCTAAATTCAAGAGATCTATATTCACTAATTTTTTATTTATGCTCCTATTGACTATTAGCTCATGTTGTAAGGAAAACGTACACGGGTGACCTCTGCACAGAGTGCACCGCCGGTGCCGATACCACAGAGGTGAATGTGCTTGCCGTAGCCGCGTGTACTGACTGCCCGTTTCGCTCATGTGAGAGGCATTTTCTCTTGACTTGCAAAGTGAAAGGTAATACCTCTGTTGAAACTTTGTTAACACCGACCAGCCCCATCAGGGAGCCGCGCAACTGCATCGAGTACACGGCACCAAAGATTCTACGGAGACTTGGGACGACACAACGCTTAGTTGTTCCGCTAATACTTCTGGCTGCCACGCTGGCAGTGGCGTCAGGCATTATCCAGCCTGCACAAGCACAAGCCCTGCAGAATATGCAGCATATTTGCTACTGGGTACTTGGTAACTTGAGAAGCGGGAAGGGTCTATTTCTACCTCAACAGACTGCGAGCTAGTTAAGAGAGAGATCGGTAGAATTTTAGTAACTTGAAATATAGTAGTGTTTATAAATACACCAGTGAACACCCATTACTTCTACTATAGCTATAACTACTGTGTATGCTCTATACACTATGGCTATCCATTACCTCTTAGGTACTAATTAGGATAGAGAGGTAGTCTATCTTATCTGCTTTTTCTTTACTGTGCTAATAGTGAATAGGTTGCCAACGCAATTAAGCTAGAGCTCTGGATAGGCAAAATCCACTGTGTTCTACAGGACTGCCTACCAAAATACGACATAGCACTTGCATTGAACAACAATTACGCCGTTTTCGCCACGGCCTTTGACGCACAGACATATAACGACTCTGACGAAGCTAATCTATCCAAAGCTTGTGAAATACTTAGGGGTTCCGAGAAGAAGTTTGGGAGCTTGAAGACGCCACTGGAGAGTGTCTCAAAAGGCGCATACATTGGCATTCGCGCAGGAATAGAGATTTTGGTACTTGCAAGGTACGGCGCCTCCGTCAAACCAATTGTACAATTATCACGCACTTTGGAGTCAGCAGAGGAAGATGTATGGGTCACACTCTCCTATATTTCAATAGCTGATACAGATGGTCAACATCACCAGTTAGAGACGCATTTGGGATACAGGAGCATATAAAGTGCAGGCCTGGGTGAGCAGCCTGAAAACAGTACAGCAAAAAATTGATCTTTCGTGAATAGTTTGATCTACAGCATTACCATTGACTTGATGAGCGTACTTGAAAGCATCAAAACTGTAGTTCTCTCGGCAATTGGTAAAGTCTTTTGCATTGCTCGTACATCTTACGGCGCTGTCTTGGCGATCACAAGCCACTGCCTAGGCCAAGAAATTACAGCCAGCAAGAGATCAACTGCATCAACTGCATCAACTGCATCAAATGCATCCAAATCGCTGGAGTGGCGATCTTGGTATCTACGATAGCCACCCTGTTATTTTCCGGTCAATGTCTAGGCTCGATCTATTACAAGGTTGTTATTCAGTGTGGGATCTGCGCTGCACTCTTGGTGGCAAGACCGTGACCGGACTATTAATGATTCGGTTGTTACCATCAGCGACAAGTCTCAAGCTCAGCTACGTGAGGATAAGGTGGCTGGGCTACCGGATTTGCCGTCGAGCATGATTGATTGAGGCTGAGATTGATGACGGTTACCAGTCCTTATTTGTTGGCATCTAGAGATGCAACGTGGTGCCGCGTGGGGAATAGCCGGAGGTAGAAATAGCGTGCGTTGCACTGGCTCACGTCGTCGCAAGCCACGCAAACGCATCCCACCACGCCCGTTGTGACCAGCCCCTACCATAGCCGTGTAGTTGATGTCCATCAAAATCCCACGCAACGCGACCGACTGCTTTGAAATAACAACACAGCATGGCCCATGAAACGCATCCCACATGCCGCTCATCACCTCCCCTCCCCTCCCCGCTTGCGAATTACGAAACGCGCTCGTCAAGTCGTCAACCACGTTATGCAACACAAAGGGCCCCCCCCCACCTGCTTCAGACCTCTGTCGCATCTCCGGCTTCTGCCCAAACGCAAGCCACGGCTGAGCACATGGGGGAAAACAACACACGCTGGCATCAGATGCTACGGGAAGCACGGGAGGAGCGCTATCGATGGGCGCCAAACCGTCTTTGGCCTTTTAGGCAGGAAATCAGACCGCGCGCTGGCGGCATGTCCCCTTCACCACCCAACATACGCAACTTGCTTGGCACCGAGGCACATCTAGATCGTTGCCTCCGAAGCATGCGAACAACTACATGACATGCAACTGTAATCATATGTACCTTTGTAGACCACTTCCTACTTGAAAAGTCTATCCGCCAGCTCTGCACTATCTCTGTACCAGATCTCTTTCATTACATTCATCTCGACTACTTGTCCTGAGAAGGCAGGCGAGACTGCAAGAAAGCCTCGACATCACTGAGCTCCTCGACGCAAGCCGAATGCGGCATACCCCTACATGTAGTTCACCGCCCCGTTAGCATTTTGCCCCTTTACACATCCTGTCTGCTCCAATCAAATCAAAATTCACTTACGGGTACGTCTTGAACGATACTTTATAGCCCAGCTCCGTCAGCTTCTTCTCCGACGCCTGCGCCATCGGGTACAGCACCAGCGGGTCGCGGTCGCCGTGGCCCATGAAGACGGGCGTGTCCCGGTTCAAGCTGTCCGTCGGCACGCGCTCGGCAAACGTGCGGTTGAGCAGCAGCCACGACGAGAGGCCGACGATGCCGCCGATCTTGAACGGCGCCGTCAGCCCGGCAAAGATGCTCATGGCGCCGCCCTGCGAGAAGCCGCCGAGGACGACGCGCTCCGACGGGATGCCCGCCGCCACCTCGGCCTGCACCAGCGAGTAAATGTACGCGCGCGACAGCTCGATGCCCTGCTCGTCCTCGTCGGGCGCCGCGCGGGCTGCGTGCGAGAGGGTGTCGATGGATTTCTGTCAAAGCCTGCGGGTTAGCCGCCGTCCCCCTCCCCTTCTCCTACCGTGTCAAGAACTCACAATGTCAAACCAACCAGGCATTTGAAAGCCACCATTCTAGACGCAAGTTATTAGCTTGGGGGCGGAACGAGGCGCGCGCGCGCGGAGTAGCAACGTACCATGGTGATGGGGATCGCGGGCGCGTGAGGCAGGATAAACTTGACCTCGTTCAGCTTGTTTCGGCTCTGCCAGTGCTGCACCGCTTCCGACCAGCCGTGGCCCGAGTCGCCCAGGCCGTGGATGAAGATGACGGTGGCCGTGTGCCTGCCCGACGGCGCAAACACCATTGGCGCGGCGCGGCGAATCGACGACATGGCTGCGGATGGAGGCGTTTCTTGTCGTGGCGCAAACGAGAGCGAGGGGATACGAGGGCTTCCAAGCAAGATTAGAGCTGTGATAATGGCGAGGAGCGCGACGAGGAAGCTAATGCTGCTGCTGAAGGACCACCGAGACATGAACGAAGCTGTTGTCCGAGGTTGAGTGAATTCCGCCACTCCGCTGCTTCTCAACGCCCCACACAATCTTTGTTGTAAAGGGTTCAACTCAACTTACTGCGTCACTCATGTACGACAAATCGGCGGCTTCAAGGTAAATACCCGAGTTTCCCCTCTTTAAAAGCCTAGGCTTGCTTGAAATATATAGCCACATTTTCAGAAAGTTGGAGCGGTGCGAGCAAAAATGGCGACATGATAATGTGCGCGCGCGCGCAGCTCACTACCCTGCACCAACAATTTACATGTCAATCCGCATATTGCTCCCGTACATTCGGAACCATTAGACAGTACCTTAGTCCAACGCCGGAGTTATAACGCCATATTAAGTCAAGACCAAGTCATGCTTTTCATCTAATCGATAGGCCCGGGGCGTCGCCCGCTTCCTCGTCGTCGCCTTCGTCGCCCTCTGCATCATCTTCTTCGTCATCCTCACCAACATCATCATCGTCGTCGTCATCTTCATCGCTAGACTCTCCAGAGCCGCCGCTGCCATCATCGCTACCGGGGGCATAGTCCTCCTCATCCTCGTCATCATCTTCCAAGTCTCCGCCCAGCGCGGCCCGCTCCAGCTCCGTCATGCCATCGCCGGCCTCATCCGCCGGCGCCCCGTCCGCGCCCTTTTTGGCCTTGTTCTCGGCCAGCTGTAGCTTTCCCTTGCGCTGCTCCGCCATGCTGCCGTCTTGCAGGCCGTTGCGCTTGACGTAGCTGTCGATGCCGCCGTAGTCTTGCTGGTCCACCATGCCAAACTCGTACTCGTCGTTGACGTCGCCTTCCTCGGGGAATACCTCGATGACAATGTTAAAGGTGATTTGCAAAATGTTGGTGTAGCTCATGGCGGCGATGCGCTTCAGCGGCATGAAGATGAGCGGCTTCTTGAAGCCCCACAAGATGCCCGTCTCCAGGAAAAACAAGAAGCCGTCTTTGGAGCCGCGAAAGGCGCCGACGTGTACCGCCTTTTCGTTGGGCCGGTGCGGTTGCCGGACCATGCTGTGAAATTGATTAGGGTCCGACGAGACAATCTTGACGTCGCTGCCGACGGCGCGCAAGCGTCTGTTGAACGCCCAGTGGAACAGGCCCCTGTATGTATCGGATACGGAATGAGACAGGCCAACCTCGCTTCCTCCTATCGTGCCCTCCTTGGGCGCCGTGGCAGGGACTGTGAAGACGAATGGTTCGACGGTCGCCGGGCCGGACTTGGGGGGTATCCTCGAGCCGCGCGGGAACAAAACATAGTTGTGTTGTACTTGGGCCTTTTCGGGGACAGGTACGTAAAAGACGAATTCTGCTCTGTTCAGAATTGGGACAATTAGGGGCAAACAGGGTGAGGCAACTAACCAATGTCAGTCCAGGCATAGGTCATGCCCTGAAGAGGGACCGTTGTTCCTGGCACGCGAGCATAGAGAAAATCTGGTGTAAAGCATATCTCAAACTTCTTCCGCTGTGGCACAGAGACGGATATTTCCTTGACCTGCAGCAGGACAGGGTCGTCGGCCGGGTTCCCAGTAGCGGGAGAGCCATTCGCGGCGCCGTTGGTGTCACGGCCAGCCTGGACCTTGCGTCTCTTTGCCCCGGGCTCCTCGTTCTCTGCCAGCTTGGAGTGAACATGCGCAGCGATTTCGTTAAAGAGGGCGACCTTGCCGGGCGTTTCTGGCCGCTAGGTTAGCAAATAGACGTTGGGGACCCTCGCAATGGGGCGGTGGCTCACCGGCGCATCGCTTTATGCCATCGAGAATATCCTGACGGGGCTTGAATATGGCGTTGAGGCGCTCAAAGTCTAGTTCCATTATCGTTGTATCGCGAATATACAGCACTGTAGAGGCCTGCGATACTGTTGAAAAAAATCGAGAATGGTGAACAATGAGCAAAGCAAAGTCGCCTGCTCCAAGCAAAGATATTTTTGGGTGTTGGAAACGCGACGTCAGTGAACAGGGCATCTGGCGGCTCTCCTCCACTCTGCCAGCCAATTGCGCGGCCTGAGTGAGCTCCGCCTTGCGTAGGTACCAAGTTGTGTGTGGCGCGACCTGGTACTTGCACCAACCATCGCTCCACTGATTCATTAGTTACTCCTGATGATGATCAAGAGGGCTGGAGCAAATGTGGAAGATGAACTTTAACCAACTTCATATTGCATGGTGAGTACTGGTCTTGTTTAGACCACGCTGGCGTAATCGCCGATGCAACTAAAGGATGCCCCAGAGTTTGGTCAGAACTGGTGTATGTAGATACTTAGGGACGAGTAGGACCAAAAAGTCTGTTTGAATGCAAAACACATGAAATAATTCACCCATTTGCTTTGTCAAAATTAAAATGAAATTCCAACGGAAACCGCAACTCTTGGCTGGCAGCCGCGTGAAGGGCATAACTATCGCCAAGATTAGTCATCGATCTGAGAGCTTCATCGTATCGTGGGGCGTTGGGCTGACTTTCATCATCATCACAACAACTGTCCAAAAGTTCGACGGAAATATTTTGCTATATGTAAAGGTGAAACAAGCCGCTGATCCTTCTGGACCACCATGTCAGCCCCATTTCCGAACATATACAACCATCGCAAGGTGGCAGATTCATCGGCCAAATCATGCGACATCTGTTACAAGACGAGTACGTCAGTGCTCGTTACGCCCGATAACAAGGTGAGAATGCTCTGAAAAGAGACTTCCTTTCGTCAGAAGTGGAATCAATTTATAGTAATATTGTCTCAGGACTTCTTCTTTGTGTGCACTGTGCACCTAAAAGACCGCTACTTTTGCACGCCAAAGATTGATGAAGAGGCCATCAAAGCCAAAAGAGAGCGAGAGTTGGAGGCTGAAAAAGAAAGGGTGAAAAAGGAGTACGAAGAAAAACAGCGGAAAAAGAAGGAAAAGGCGGAAAAGGACAAGAAGGAGAAAGACAAGGACGAGAAGAAGAAGACGGACAAAACGGACGACAAGAATGATGAGGCCGAGAAAAAGGTACAGTCACTGTGCTACATGGTGATGTGGAACATGGACTGACCACGTTGATCGAAACAGGAAGAAAATGACAACGGCGAGGCCGAGGCAGAAAAGGAAGAAGAGCCTCGGACCTTTGAGCTCAAGACGTGAGTCCTGCTTGCGATGAAAAGTGCAAGAAGTATTGCCTAACAACATTTGACAATAGTGCGTTTTATCAACAACGCTTACAAAGAAAACGACAAGCAGAAACTTCAAAGAGAGATAGAGAACGGGTCTCGCAGCCGGGGTACTTTCCTTCGGTACCGACGGCGCCGCCCTCAAAGTAAGAGGATCATGAGTAAACACGGACATGTGTATATAGCCGACATTGGGACCTCGGAGATATGAGCATAATGACGGTGACAAAGTCCCGTAGAGTCTTGACCCATATCACTCATACTCATAGGGACACAGATGCATGTCTGTCTCCCTGCGACACCAACGAATCTGTCGCATATTTGGCGGAAGTTTATATGAGCAGTGAGGGGAAGTGTGACCGATACATTAACAACATATTCTTCCACTCCAAATTGAAGGTTCACATTAGGTCTTTATTCCATAGATAGTGATTACAGACCACTGACGCCATGTCGATCACGAAAATCCGCCTTTACAGGTAGCTGACATCGTACAAAAAAGAGGACCACACTTGGATAGGTCGCAAAAAGACCGAAGAAGAGGGTTATCGTTTAGTTTGTTGTATTCGGGGACTTCCCGGCCCGGTACAGCCGCCGCCTGGTGAGCCCTACCGATGCAGGTCGCCATTCTACCTGCCCACACGCAGCCTATTCACCTCGACCGATTATCCCTCATCTCTACCGCGAATGGTTCGAGTGTTAAAGAAAATTTACATTGAATTTTGCCTACTGAAAGCCGATGAATATCACAAATGCAACGTTGCAGCTCGTGATGGCAGAGACACATCGTGTCCTGCTGGTGTCATTGCACCCATACGCCCTACAGTAAACTGCAAAGTGTTAACACTGCTATTATTTTCTATTTTAATAAATATAAGTGAATCTTCTGAGCGGGGCAGACACCATCACCACAGTGCATAATGCACACGCCCCCAGCCTTGCCAGGCTGGTCTACGTCGACTGCAGATGTATGTGGATTCAATGCATGGCGTGTTGCCAGCAAGCCGAAATAGTCTATACCGGTGATACCCATAGTCCTGGCCCACCGGGAGAACCTTGCCGTATGAGGTAGCTGTATGTGGAGTTATGGTGCGTTGCGGAAAGGGCATTTCCATCCCCCGTTGTAGCTATTTTGAGCTCTCATGTGCGGCGGTTGCTTTGTGTATTCCACCTTTTCTGGCCTTCTGAGAAGTGCGGACCGCGCAGCTGAGTTGCTAAACGTACACACAGACAAAAGTCCTAACCAGGATATATTTACGACCAGTTCAAGAGCAGACAGCAGGTCATGGGGCAAACCGTAACACACTTTATGTTGTTGTGCCCATTCGACCCCATATCGCCGTCAAATCGTTTCTATGAAATAAAGCTCCATACGGGTACCGGTAACCCACTTGTCGTCGCAAGTTTGTAAATAGCTAGCCGTGTTAATGCCGATCCGCGGGCGTAAGACATCATATACAAGTTTTAAAGGTTACCGCGCCCGGCCCCAGGTGGAAGTCGAATGCCCAGATTTCCGCCAGGACCAGATATGGACGCAGCAATCTCGTCAACTTTCGCTCTCTGCAACGAGAATGCGGGTGTAAGCCAGGCACCGCAAGTACACTTGAAGCCTTTCCAATCGTAGCGTCCAACGGTAGCGCCACAGCGACCATTGGGGCAAGTCAACCGACCGTTGAGTGTTCCCTGCTCCAACTCGGGGCGCATCCAGCTCAAAGGCTCAATGAACAGATGCTGGCAGCTGGCTGAGCCATCAATGGCTTTGTGTTTGGCAATGAACTGTTCAGTCGCAAGCACACGACGGCACTTCTTGCACCGCAAGCTTGAGCCGGTAGTGTCCAATCTTTCGGTTTGCTCATCCTCAAAACGGAGCCGTGACGGAGCCTGCCCGACGCCCAGACTCTCGCTTACTTCCCGCTGATACGCCCAGCGCTGATATACTGGCTGTTTTTCCAGATCTTCTGGGCATCCCATTGTCCACCACATGCGCAGTTGCTCCATGAATCCATCATTAGGTTCTGCCATGGGGCGAGTTTGGCGGATCAAGGTGAGAGCGGCGTTGACAGCCTCCTCAGCTGTCTCCGTCCGGGGCTTTGTGGTACCAGAGTTGGCGGAAGGATCAAACTTGTTGGGATACTTCCATAGTAGGAAGGCTATTATGCAAGATACGGAGCGAGATTTTCCCGCCGCGCAGTGGACAAAAACACCACCTGGTTTTCCTGTTTGGCCGACACTTTTGAGACCTCCGTCGATGAACTTGACGGCTCTCGGAAACTCGACTAGGATATCGGTCTCTTCGACATCGTCAATATCAATGAGAAGGTGCTGGTATTGCTTCCCGTACTCGGACCATGGCTCTTCTTTGAAATTCTTGAGAGAATCGGGTGGGAACCCATACAGCGACAGCACATGGGTAATGCCCTTCTCAGAGAGTTGATCGGAGCGACGGAGTGCCCAGAGACTGGTAATTTGTTTTAGAAGGTGGAGATACAAGGGGTCGCGGGCGCCAACTTACCCTCCAACATAGAGGTTGTCTGGGATGTTGAGCGAGCTATGAGCCATACTTGTTTGGCGCGTGGAACTGTCTGTAGGCTTTTGGGCGGATATTGTCTAACAATGTACCTGCGGGCGGGCAGAGACGGCTGTCGCTCAGAATAAAGTGCATAAAATACGATAATGGAAGGTCTTGTGTGCTTTCACGCCTTGTTGAAATTGGCTACTGTATGTAGTTGCTGGCGTCGAGTTACGAGAGCCGAAGCCGCGGCAGGGTTTTGTGCAGACGGAGTTTTGAGACGGAGCCGGAGGGGAAGGGAAACTGGGCTACTGATGGGACTCCGCTACGGCGCGTGTTGCAAGTGAGAATTTAGCCCAATGTCACTACGATGCCAAGTGATGTAGCTAGGATTCCCGAGATCAATATTTGTAGTAATTGACAACAAAAACGGCTGGAGTCGGTTGTCGTGGGGTTATTCGACATTTTCTGCCGACCCCGCGATGTCGCAGGCGCCAATATTGGCAAGGCGGCGAAAATTTTCCAACGTTAGGGCCCCTCATCGGTACTTTGACAAAGATGGAGGGGCTGCGTTTGACGACTCGCATCTCGCATCCCCCGCGTCCAGCGCAATTTTTTGTTGCCATCTCAGCCCTTCATCCTGCAACAGGTGCTGTGCTGGTAGCCTGGCCTCTTCGCCGCCATAATCATGCCTCCCTCGTTTCTCGTTGGCAGTTCCTGCTTCACGGCCTCTGACCTGGAGGAGCTCCGGGCCCGTATTGGCAAGGCCGCCGATGCTCCCGTGAAGCAGCTCCAGGGCGACTGGTTCTACTATCTGGACCTCAAGAACAACTCTGACGCCGTTTTTGACAAGATCAATGAGCTTTTGCAGGATTTCGGCAACCAACAGCCGCCTCTCGATGAAACAAACGCCAATATACTCACGCTCTACATTACCCCGCGTTACATCTCCCCATGGAGCTCCAAGGCCACCAGCATCGCCCACGTCTGTGGTTTGCGCGATGGTGTCAATCGTATTGAGCGCGGAAAGCGTGTCATGATTGAATTCGGCCAGCCTGCCACCGAACAGCAGATTACTGCCTTCCGCGACATCCTCCACGACCGAATGACCGAAATCTTCGACCGCACCCAACCCGACAATGCGATCATGTTTGCTGAAGGCTCGCCCTCGCCTCTTGTTGTTGTCGACATCTTTGGTGATGGCAAGGATCCTCTTACAGTCCTGGCCGACTACAACAAGACCAAGGGCCTTAGTCTCGACCAATCCGAGATGGAATATCTGGTCGGCGTTTTCAAGAAGCTTGGCCGCTCGCCCCATGATGTCGAACTTTTCATGTTTGCCCAGGTCAACTCGGAGCATTGTCGCCACAAGGTGTTCAATTCGTCTTGGAACATTGATGGTGTTGATAAAGACAAAAGCTTATTCCAAATGATTCGCGAGACTCACAAAAACACGCCTGATTACACCATCTCGGCTTACAGCGACAACGCAGCCGTCGTGCAGGGCGAGGCGGCCAATTACTGGTCCCCCGACTACTCGACTGGCACTTGGAAGCTTACACCGGAAATCGTTCACATTCTTACCAAGGTCGAGACCCACAACCACCCGACCGCCATTTCACCCTTTCCCGGTGCTGCCACTGGCTCTGGCGGCGAGATTCGCGACGAGGGTGCCGTGGGTAGAGGTTCCGTGACCAAGGCCGGTCTTGCCGGTTTCTGGGTCTCTGACCTCCTCATCCCCGACAACCATGCTCCTTGGGAAAAGGACATTGGCCGACCTGCGCACTACGCCAGCAGTCTCGATATTATGCTCGAGGCCCCCATCGGCAGCGCCCGCTTCAACAACGAGTTTGGCCGCCCATGCCTTACTGGTGTCTTCCGAACCCTTCTCACCCCTTCCGATGCAACCGAATCTACAGATGCGAAGGAAATTTCTGAGTGGCGCGGCTACCACAAGCCCATTATGATTGCTGGTGGCTTGGGCACTGTTCGACCTGAGCACGCTCTCAAGGAGCAACGATTTGTTCGTGACGGAGCTCATGTCATTGTTCTCGGTGGTCCTGCCATGTTGATTGGTCTTGGTGGTGGCGCCGCCTCGAGCAATGCCACTGGCGAAAGTAATGCCGATCTTGACTTTGACAGTGTCCAGCGTGGCAACCCCGAGATGGAGCGACGTGCTCAGATGGTTATCAACACTTGCTGCAGTCTCGGAGTCGAGAGTCCTATTGCCATGATTCACGATGTCGGTGCCGGTGGCCTATCCAACGCTCTGCCCGAGCTTGTCCAGGATGCCGGCTTCGGTGGCAACTTTGAACTGCGCCAAGTTGAGAGCGCTGATCGCAGCATGAGCCCACTCCAGATCTGGTGTAACGAGGCACAGGAACGCTACGTTCTTCTAATCAATGCCGATGGTATGAACCGCTTCACCAGCATCTGCCAGAGAGAGCGATGCGGCTTCTCTGACGTTGGCACTGTCGTCTCAAAGACCTCCGACGGTGTAAGCAACCTTGTTCTCACCGACCGCGAGTCAAAGCAATACCCACGACCCATTGATCTGCCAATGAATGCCCTGTTTCCTCCCAAGAGACAGCTGAAGCGTACGGTCACCTCCAAGAAGCCTACCCTTACTCCTTTCAATGCCCTGGCAAGCCTAGAGAAAGCCTACGGAACCGGCCTGTCCACGCAAGAACTTTTGTCCAAGGCTGTTGAACGCGTTTTCCACCTGCCTGCTGTTGGTTCCAAGTCTTTCCTCATCACAATTGGTGACAGAACCATTGGTGGTCTGACTGCCAGAGACCAAATGGTCGGACCTTGGCAAGTGCCCGTCTCGAACGTGGCCGTCACTGCCACCTCTTTCCACATTGGTGGAAACCAAAAGACCGGCGAAGCCATGGCCATGGGTGAAAAGCCTACTATTGCTCTGATCGACCCGGCTGCCTCGGCCCGCATGGCAGTTGCGGAATCGCTTATGAACCTCGGTGCTTCTGATGTCATGGGTGACCTGCGTCGCGTGAAGCTGTCTGCAAACTGGATGGCTGCTGTAAACCATCCTGGCGAGGGTGCCGCTCTCTACGAAGCTGTTCAAGGCGCTATGGAAATTTGCCAAGCGCTCAACGTCAGTATTCCTGTTGGCAAAGATTCTACATCTATGAAGACTGTATGGAGGAACGGCGAGGAGTCCAAGAGTGTCACTGCTCCAGTCTCCGTCGCCATCTCGGCCTTTGCGATTGTCGAGGACTACCAAAAAACTTGGACTCCTCAACTCCGTCGTGTTGAGGATGTCGGCGAGACTCTTCTCATGTTTGTGGATCTGGCCGAAGGCCGCAAGGCCATGGGCGGCTCTGCTTTGGCCCAATCTCTCGGAGCTCTTGGCAACGAAGCGCCGGACATGAAGAACTTTGATCTCATTACAGATTACTATGATGCTCTTGATCAGCTTCATAAGAGTGGAGTTGTTCTAGCTTATCACGACAGATCTGACGGTGGTCTCATTACTACCGTTGCTGAAATGATGTTCGCTGGTCGCTGTGGCGTGGACATCATGATGGATGGTATATCCAAGACGGGTAGCCCGGCTGATATGATTGATGCCCTCTTCAACGAGGAACTCGGCGCCGTCTTCCAGATTCGGAAATCTGACGAGACCAATTTTAAGCGTTGCTTTGCCACTTGCGGTCCGCCCGCGGGCCTCATTCGCAAGTTTGGCGCTGTCAAGTCCAAGGCCAAGCAGAATCTTTCTGTCCGCTACGGCGCTACTCCGTTTGCTACCCTCGATCGTGTTGAGATCCAGAAGTGGTGGAGCAAGACTTCGTATGCCATGCAGCGCCTACGTGATACTACTGCCGGTGCTGATTCCGAGTTTTCTCTCATCGATGACAAGGAAGACCCTGGTATCTCGTACAAGCTCAGCTTTACCCCGTCTGAGAACATTCTGCCTCTGACCAAGTCCATTACTGGCATGTTCAGTAAGGCTCCTCGCGTTGCCATCCTTCGCGAGCAGGGTGTTAACGGGTACGCCGAGTTGGCATACTCATTCCGCGCCGCCGGCTTCGAGGCCGTTGACCTTCACATGACTGATATCCTCGGCGGCCGTACCCTGGCTGACTTTGTCGGACTGGCCTTGCCTGGAGGTTTCTCCTACGGTGATGTGCTCGGTGCCGGAAACGGCTGGGCTCAGTCGATCCTGATGAACAAGACGGCCGGCGGCGAGTTTGCCGCCTTTTTCAGCCGCCCCGACACGTTTGCGCTCGGCATCTGCAACGGCTGCCAAATGCTCACCCGTCTCAAGTCCCTCATCCCCGGCACGGAGCACTGGCCCAACTTTGTCGACAATGCGTCTCAGCAGTTTGAGGGCCGCGTAAGCATGGTGCGCGTGCAAGTCGACGAGTCCAAACCCTCAGTCTTCTTCCATGGCATGAACGGCTCCTCTCTCCCCGTTGCCGTCGCCCACGGCGAGGGTCGCGCGCTGTTTGGCTCGCCCAACTCGTACCAGCACCTCTCCGACGCCGGCATGATTCCGATGCGCTACGTCGACAACCGTCTCAACGTGACAGAAAAGTACCCCTACAACCCCAACGGCAGCCCTGGTGGCATTGCAGGTGTGCAGAGCAAGGATGGACGATTCGTGGCCATGATGCCTCACCCGGAACGTACCATCATGGCCGGTATCGCCAGTTATATCCCGGATGGTGCTGCTGAGACGTGGGGCGAGTTTGGGCCTTGGGTTCGTCTCTTCCGCAGCGCCCGTAGATGGGTTGGCTGAATGATTTCTTTGGTTCTTCTTCACATGTTGTCGTATTATATACAAAACATCAAATCATACAACTTTTCTCGTTCATGTTCGGCGTTTTGGGAATGGAATTGACTCGGGATGAAATACAGAGTCTTGAACAGATAGGCACGACGAAATGCAACGTTACATATTTACACACATGATACATGTCATACCCTACAAGATGAAAGTGCTGATGCTTCTTTTCATCATTGGCCTTGTCATTTGACTTGTCAATATCAAGCCATTAATTCACATGTAGTGAACTGCAATACCATGATTCGCCGTTGACCTGGCAGGCAAGGACGGGCATAACGGGAAGCGAGAACCATAGCATCGCTCTTCGACAGAGAGCATTAAGGAACACTCAGTACAAGTTGACATGGCTCATGGTGCGAAAAGGGCATTATTATTGCACCTGTATTCGTGCAAGGCCACTGTACCAGGCCTCGAAACTCCTCAAGCAGTCGCATCGCCGTTTGGGACGAGGTTTGTTCGCGCCAGACCACAAAGCCCAGTCCCCTTCCAGCGGGGGTTCCTGAAGACGATACAAAGTCAAAAGCCGACAAGAAACATTCTCGTCGCCCGTCCCCCCCTTCTTCTTTCCGGATAGTGTGCAACGGCTTCAGAGAATGCTGCTGCCCACCTCCTCCCACAGCCGAGTCCGGCGGCGGCGACGGCCCTGGAACATCAGCCTCGCGCCTCCCCGCCCCCTTTCTGCCAAGGCTATCAAAAAGGTTCAAAACCCCTTCCGAGGCTGAAAAGGCCGTTTATTACTCAAACGAGGTGTTGGAGTATTTGCACCCCAGCCAGCAAGGAAGCCACACAGAACCAGACCGCGCGGCGTGTCGTTCGAGCCACCGTAACTAGTATATCCGGGCCGTGTTCGGTGAATTCCAGCATGGCGGCTCTCCTGACGAAAAAAAGGCGGATGGTGTGACAATAGTGTTACTAGGAGCCTTTCCTGTTATACATGTTTGGGGGGGGCGAGGGATTCTCGTATTCATGCAAATTTGGTGGTGGACAGGGCGTCGGCAGCAGCTGTGTGTAAATAGGCTATTGGGCAATCTGTAGATCCTCGTGTCTCCAAGGAGGAGAAGAACTTCTATAATTTAATCATCCCAAGTTTTCGGAGCCCGTCGTTGACTCACGTCTATACCCGTCGCATCTGGCTGCCCAAGTGCCAAGGGTTGTAACTGCTTGGCAGGAGAAGCCAGAAATACAATAAGCGGGATACTACGAATTATTGAAAGATGAAACATAACTCATCTATCAGCTATTTTTATTCTCCGACCATCGATAAGGTTTCACTGCTATAAGTTTGACGAGTAAGTAACGACTGCAGACTTCCAACAGCAGTATGCGCGTACTCTCTACTCCTCGAAATGCTCAATACAACGACCCTGTACAAAGTACAAAACGTTGCTATTCTGTTGCCAAAGTCCAGCGTTCATCTCCCCCCCCCCTTTTTTTGGTGGTAGACGACCTTGACGCCGCGCGTCCTTGACAGTATTTGGGGACTGTGGAGTTGGGAGACAGTTTTGAGTCAGGGAGGGTCGTTCCGAGGGAGACCCCCCCCCCCCTTGGCCATGACCAAAAGACGCATACGTAATGCACGCGGCGCCGGCGTTGGAGAAGCGGATGGGGAAAGAAAGCCGCTTTTCTTTTGAAAATAAACTCAGAAACGCACTGGCGCACAAATGGTTCAATACTTGCTTTGACAAGGGGCGACGCAATCAAGCTGGCCTGCTTCTTCAAAGCACTGCCGCGAGGCCGCGATCAAAGACGTTGCCGCCCGTTCCGAGTAGAGGGGACGATAATGGGTTCAGAGGCGCTGTTTGTCTCTGCCCACCCGTGGCATGGGGTCATGTATTGTTAAGGCAAAGGCGGAAAGCGGCACTGTATTACCAGTAGATGCGCGGTTCGTCTTGCGCGGCCGTTTGCGCACCTCGGCGCTGTGCAGATCGTCAATGTTGGGGGCCCAAGTTGCGTGGTAATAAGATTTCGGGTCTCGGAACTTCTGAGAAGGCCGGGGTCCAAAGCACTCCGGGTGCGGCCTCTCCCAAGAAGGTGTCGGAACAGGTTCGAGTTGTCATGCTGTGCTACAGGCTCACTCCGTGCCTCGAGTTCCTTGCGGTGATGTATGTCACATGGACGTTTTGACTGTAGACTGGATCGTGACATGCACCACAGCGTCATCATGTGCTCGACGGCCAGGCTCTATTGACAGAGCGAGTTGCCACCGCATCGGGAGAAAGGACGCGGGTGAGAGAATTGCAATGTACTTAGTTACCTTGCATCTCCGCCACCTGAATCCATCGTTGATCGTTGATCAATTCAGATGACGCCTACCCCTGACACACACTTTCGAGCAAGTTTCCCCTTTGCTCGGCAACGGCAGTTCAAATGAAAACCACAAAAGAGGGCTGAGTTGCGCCCGTGGTTCTGGTTGCGGGAATCGTATGCGGCCTAATTCTCGTTGGCCATGCATGACACTGTTTCAACGTATCATGCACGGAGTTGATTACGCGCCGAGCAAGCCGAAGAATCCACCTACCAGTATGCGAATGGATTGGAGAGTTGAGTGCAAAGACGGCAGAGTTTGAAACTCGGACCGAAGCCTTCACCTTGGGCAATGTCGACTTGGGAAAACCAGGGCCAATCAAGGAACCAGCGTGCACGAGTCTTGTTTGTTGATGAGGGAAAGACAGGGAGAGGAGGGGTGTGAGTAAAGTTTCTCGCAACCTCTCTCCAAATAGCACTGCGGATGTTTCGCGCTTTCCTTTCCTTTCTGCATGTTGCAACCGATTTAGCCAACCTCTTGGGATAGAATGGCCAACCACGAGCCAACCACCAATCAAACGCATCAGCGAGCGGAAAGAAGGTGTGCCAGATGCCATGCATCGAGGGATCGACTCGCAAAGCTCTCTAGCGTGGTGCGTAGCCCAGCCCTGTCGGGACGGCACGGCAGGATTTGTCGCTGGTAAGGCTTCTGTACCGACATGACCGTGAGACAAATCTGCAACTTGTTATTAGTTAGAATTTTTGTCCTCTTTCTATGGGCCCATGCCCTTGACAGAGTCAGGTCTAGTTATATCGTTAGTAGTTAGTATTGGTATATGGTCTCAAACGTCTTCGTCTCGTTGTCAAGATGCAGTCATTGTTTCTAGACTGACAAAGCACTACATAACTAAATCACAGACAGTGCTAGGGAAAAAAAAGGGTCCATACCGGAACTGTCGATATTATGTACGACTTGGGCAGCCCTGCAGCGCCTATCCGTACATATAGCACCGGTTCAGTCACACTGCTGATAGGGACCACGCTCGCTCGCGGAATCAGTTGCGCACCGGTGACAAGGCAGAAACGAGGCCACGGCTCCGCGGCTCGTTGCTGCAGGTCTTGTGTCAGCCTCTGCAGAACAAGGCCGTGGCTGCAGAAGGCAACGAGGTCCATCATGGCCTGGCAGGGCTGCGCTGCATATATACTTCGTACCTATGCGACACGCAGAGCCAGGGCTGACCAGCCATCTACCAACGGCTAGCCGCGGGCTTCTGCTCAGATGTTTTCGTGTGGGAAACCAAGGCATCAGCTATTATCTTCATCAAACTCTGGAACCCATGTCTTTTCTTTGGCGCTCAATTCAATCATTTTTGAACCGTTTCTCTGGCGTTGTGGTCAAGTCTGGAAGGGAACTTGATTGGTCCATCAGGTAGCTGAAAAAATGACTTGTGTAAAAAGGCGCCGACTCACACCTTGTTTCGAGCAAGCCACCGGCGGCACAAAATGGATCACTAGGGGCGAGCTGTGAGCCAGTCAGAGCCCTGTCACATCAAGATTGCAGCGAGCAGTGGAACATGAAGACCCTCTATTCGTAATAACCAGAGGCCGTTAATAGAGGCTGAAATGCCCTTATCAACTGAGGAGGGGGCGGGATAGACGGTTTTGCAGTTCGCTAGCGCCCAGCCCTGTACGGAAGAGTTGGGTCGTCGTTCATGTTGCATTGGTTATCAGGGCAAACTCGGCCGAATCGCGCTGATAGCCCACGTTTCTCGCAATGTCGCCTTGCAAGGATCAACGGGTACTGAAAGCGAAAGAAAAAACTGATCCGTCATATGCACGGGCAGCACTGCCAAAGCTGCACTGGCAATGCCTCATGCAAGCCAAGGCATATTGTAACATTTCAACCCGAAGAAGGATACACTGGCCTGTCGGCGCTTTTTCGTTTTTGCAGACATGGTTCCTTTGTTTCTGGGTTTTCGGTGGCTGTCGGGCCAGCCTAGCTAGCGTCCGTCTGAGCTGCTCTCGTCTTTTTGACAAAGACACCACCAGCCTTTGAAGGACAGCCCCCAGCTGAACGCGCCAACAATGGCGCCGTTGCCCTTTGTCAGTTGCGTACTTGGTAGAAGAGTGCTGAACCGAGTAACTAGGTGGCTAGCAATAAGCGACGGATGCGATCTGGTAGCGAGAGCTGGAGATGACCGTCTTCATGATTCGCTTTGCACAGCCATTGTCTCCCTGTTGATGCCAGCGCGTGCAGAGTGCAGATTCACGAGCCGCTCGGGCCCGAACATTCCGCGGGCACTTTTCTGCATGCTCAGCCCTGTTCTATTGCCCCCCAAGCCGCGGCGAAATAATGCTGTCCCAAATCCTCTGCAGCAGGCGGCTGCACCCGTGCTGCTGCTTCGCTAGGGGCCGAACCAGCCCACCCAGTGCATCTGTGCGAGATGATGGGCAATCCGGTTGTTTCCCCGCTCGTCTGTGATGCCCGTTCCGACTCATCGTGACCCTTGTAGCTGATGAGAGCAAGGCTAAATAAGCCAGGCAAACTTTGTGGCGCTCTCAAGAAATTCCACGAAAGAAAGACGAAGGAAGATCCTAGACCAGATTCAGCACCCGCGGCCAGTCAGCAAGCCGAGAGCGTAATGCAGTGTGATGAGGCAAAAACCCTGTGAATATGCGGGGGCAGCAATTATCCGCATTTGTGCCAA